TAAACCTTATTTTCAATAAGCAATCCTGAAAAATATTTGGGGGTGCTTAACTTTTTTCCAGGTGTATAAATAGGAAATTCAGCGTTCACATTACATGAAAAAAAAAACAAAGAATAAAAGTGACATCAAGTTTCATCAACAGTCAACAGCAAAAAAAATAGAAGAAAGACCCAGGTAATTACTATATAGTTTTTGATGTGTATTCTTTATTTGTTATTATAAACATAACTAAAATGTAAAAATCAGAAACTTTTTAGTTTAGATTAGGAAAAATAAAAATAACAATATTAATTTTTCACAAGGTATGCTTGCGAGTATCCCATACAATACTCTAATTTAATTGGGGAACTTGAGCTACATATCAGCCATGTGATTTACAACTTGAGTGGCTGGAATATTAGTTAGACATGGTTCAAAGTGCAATAAAATAATACAATTTAAGTAGAAACTGTTACGAGTATAAACCTTTTCAGGATAAAAAATTAGTTTCACGTTACAATTTGAAGCCATTCTAAAAAGAAAAAAGGATAACTTAGATTCATTTAAATTTTTTTTGGTGGTTATAAGGCCGGTCAAATTGACCAACCTCGTACAGAGTTAGGGTAGAGAAAATAGCAGATAAAATATAAAGTTTTACAGAAAAAATAAAGTTTGAAATTAATTTATGAGATTTTTAGAGAGTACGCAAATGAAATTTGAGAATTTTCAGATGAAGCAAAGTATTTTTAATCTTAATATCAAAATCACTTTGCACTCAGAGCAGTCAACACTTGGATTCCATATATTTATGGAGAAATTTTTAGTGAAAATACTTCATTAAAAATTCTGATTTTTTGTCTACAAAAGACTAAATTGTTGTGAAACTTCATGAAGTTTATATATTAGAAGTTACTAAATTCTTGTGAAACTTCATGAAGTTTATATATTAGAAGTTATAGTATGTAAACTATAAAGGTCAATTTGGGGTTCATGAACTTGGCCAAGTCAGCTGAGCCTGCAGTGAGAATATTAAATGGTAGCCAATATAAAAATGTTTAGTTCAGTTAGATCAACTTTCATCTTTTTGTTAATTAACTTATGCTCTGAATAAAGCACTTACCTGTAAAAATAGACTTCACAGCAGGCACAACACAAACCTAAGAGGCATCTTAAGAAGTAGAAGACAAGGACCTGTTGGGAGGAAGGTATAGTCAGTAATCAATTGATGTTTACATTCATTTCTCTGCTTTTTTACAATATTTTCTTATTTGGGTTGGAAAAGAGAACATTATGTGACTACTTTACATAAGTATTGTCCTTTACCGCTAATCCACTTACTATGCTGCACGTCATAATGCTATCAAAAGTATTGTTACGTATCTGCTCATTTGTTAATTTCAGTTGTAAATTC